TCTAAAAAATGAAACCACACGACAGCCAACATTTCTTGTCGACAATTCTGTTATGCCAGTTGTCTTTCTAAAGTGTCTCCCACAGCGGATTGCGCTACAGACGCGCTGAATCAAAATGGGGATCTGATTGGCTTGACAGTGTCTTAATGTCCGAGCAGAGTGGGTCGGGAGGAGAGATTACGGCAAATGCTACAAAAGTCTGACTAACTACAAACTTCTTCACATGCAAGTCACCATCCTCCACGCACTCCGTGGGACGCACTGCAGACGTCGTTGTTTGTGATGGTGGGATTGTCTTTCTAAAGTTAAACCTCGTCCATACTTTTAATGCTACCACCCTAAATGTGAGATTGAATAACCGTTACATCAAACAAACCATCGACAGAAAAAATATTTCTTATGTTGTTAGCCTATAGAATCCCATCGGCGGCCTAGGTCAGTCGTAAAGAACGTCAGAATGTCACCAATTCCCGCCCATAACATTCCATGAATTGTTGCATACCAATGCGGTCAAATAATTATATTTCTTGTTAGAAGAACCACATTGGGCGTTAAATGGCGCAAAGTATATTTTTTTAATATATTGAACAACTTATAATGAATTTTCGTTCGGCTTTATCTCGTGGTGCTTAATTTGGCTCCAAATTAAGGCAAAGCAGGCGGCCGGTGCATTTGAGCAGCGGAGAGACGTGCATAGTAAGAGATCCTCTCACGCAAAAACACATAGAGGCGACTCTTGTCACTCAAGTCATCAATTCCATGAATTAATGATCTGCGACATGAATGTGCTTACTTAATCCCAGAGAATACGCAATATCATACTTGTGAGGAGGCAAGTGGTGTCCGTAATTTTACTAGAAGTCAGGGTCCAATTCGCATTTCCCGTTATCTACTTAGCAAGCATCGGTGATATCCACAAGTAGCCGATACTAATAAATGGGGGAAGTCTAAACACTTTTAGAATTTTGGTTGCTAGGAAAGGTCGAAATGGCCCAACAGTTTCAGTTGCTTGTAATTGCACTATCAATTTTCAATGGTGGGGACGAATACGGGAACAGGGACAGCGATGAATATTAGCTATACGACGGACCAAAAGTTGTTTACAAAAAGTTTTATTCTAAAGGGGGCTAGACGAAGCTCTAAATTAGCATTTTTTTCTTCAAGCGATGACAGCTAACTAGAAGCAATGGGTAGATTGAAAGATTTCAGGAAAAATTCATAATTCTTGAGTACCGGCCGTAACAACACAAAGAAAGGCCTTGTCTCCGAAGTCGGTCTTTTTCCCGAAGGTCTGTTCCTCTCCCAGCCTAAGATTTCAACGTTTGCGGAAAAGCAGTCACTTAGAACTACCTCTAGTAAGCAACTGAGGTAAATGAAAAACGCCAAAACTGGATTGCACCTAATGGGTTAGATGTAATGTGACAGTAGTATGTATATGTGTTTGAAATGTTCGTTGGGTCAGAAAACTAATATCATAGCAGATTTAAGTTTCGAATACTCCTTAACCACGAAATTTCTCTGCGACAGGCAGGTTTTTAACTAAAAAGCAACTCTCAATCAAGGCAAGAGAATACGACTTCGGCTAGCTCAACTTCGAAGTCATGAAACGTGATCTTCGTTTTCGGCGATCACGCCAACTTGCAATTATGGACTGAGCCACTAAAGCCCGTCAAATAAATTCACAGAACGCGCTGTCACTACTCCGGCCGATTCATTAGGGCAGTTGGCATTCATACCCGTAGGAATTTTAATTTGGAAGGGAAAGGTGTCTACTGAATCAGTTAAGAAGCCGTTCTAAGGGCAAAAAGGGTGACTAAACTAGATTAGGCGCATATAAAACGGACTTCGGCGCCTATGCAATTCCACCCTGCATACTGTCAATTCTTTAACGCTATGGATACTTGAAAGTGACGACTTCTGCTGAAGTAAAACGGTCTTCTAAATCACAATCCTATTCGCACATGTCTACCAAAAACACTTGTTTTGATATAATAAGGGCAGTCAGATGGCAAAACGTAAGTTCGACAAAGGCAAGAGAGACCGGAATGGCCATTTACGACACATTAGCTGTCATCAACCAGGCATAGCCAATCCAAGCTGTTGATCACCCGAGGTTCGAACCCACAACCCTTGGTTCTATACGTGCACAAGAGCTTTGACGTACAGCTGGATTATAACTTTTGGTGCGCGAGAGTTCGTAAGTATATACTTAAGTACTTAATTACAAACTCGCGCGCATTATAAATTACAATCCGTTTGAAAATTGAACTATTTACAGTATAATGTAAATAGCTATAGCTTATAGGCGATGAAGTACGAGGAAAACGTTTTTAATACCCGCCAACATAGTTAAATAGCAGCTAAGTACCAATTGGCTGAAGAATGGCTAAGCCAGTTTCCTAATTCGGGGCTAAAATTTAGCCCACTAAAACTTGAGAATAATTTCAAGAGTCTAAAGGACTGAGACAGGAATCTATTAAATTCTGACTATACTGAATGACTTTCTAAAAATATTTGTATGGTTATGTTGTTCTACTTAAATGATAGTAGCTTCAAGAGAAGTACCACGCCAAACTTGAAGTGTGAGCCTACCCAATTTCCCACTGGGTGCTTGGAGAATGGACCATACTGCCTACTCTTATATCTCTATCATCCCGCTCTACCCGAATTTACGCCCCAACGAAACAAGATGAGAGTGGAGCAGGTATTGTGCACGCTTTACGCTATACGCGGACCGGCTTAGAAGTGCAGACAGATATTGTTTACGTCAAGTACACTATAAGCGGTAAATTCGTTATTAGGAGGATTGGCAGATTTGCTTAGTTTAAGTTGACCCAATTTTGAAAAAAATAACTCGAGGCGTTTGGCGGCATTTGAACCCGCGCATCAGAGAAGGCCTTTGCCGGAGGCCAATGCTCTAACCTGCCACAAACGCCCCGCCTCGCACCATGTATTTAATCACACTTGGGTCGATATTACCCACCCAACTTTACCGCCCATATGG